ATACACACACACATATACATACATACATACATACATACACACGTTAAATTATAATATATACACAATTCATTTATAATTACAATTAGAAAGTTACATAATATGAGTTAGTTATCTGTACTGATAAATTGAAAATTTAACATCATGTTAAAACTAAAACTAGTTATTAATAGCATCAATTTGTTGAATATGCTGCCTTGCAAAACAAGTAAAAAAAATGCATTTGACAACTAATGGAAATAATGAAATGTTATTACAATGAATTTACATGGGCATTACTTTGGAGGCTGCAAAGTTCCCTTTACACACACACAGCACTGACAATCAAATGCAAAAGACATGTAAATACAAGCTATATCCTTTGCATTTAATTTTGTGAAAGCTCTACATCCCGACACACAGGTTACACATTTGTTTAGTAAATTAAGAATATCAGTATTTATTCCAGGTTGCCTATTCTCAGCTTCCTCCCATGGTACTTGCCATTAGGTGTGTGTAATAATGTTACACATAATGCTTATATAGTGTTAAAATCATAAATATTGATTAAAGTCAAATAACTGTAAGATTCATGTATGAACTTTAACATTATATCACACGCCACCTTTAAATTAGGTCCTCTACCTTTTCACGTATTCAAAAAAATACATGACAAGTTAGTCAGGAACTAGTAATAGGCTAATTTAAAAATAAATGTACAACAACATAAGGCCAATCTGGATGGTTTCTGCATGCACAACAAACTGCACCTCAATTAGGATCTGTTTCTAGGTTATTTGGAAACATTTATCAACCTATCACCTGTCTAGAAACATTAGACAGCAAAGGTTATTCTTATAGGTCCTAACTTATTAAGTAGAAAGTGTCAAATTCTGTGTATGAAGAGAAAGTGAAACCTGTGGGGTTTAAATTGAGTGAAGTTCCCAGGCTCAGATGCTGTCCAACTCAACGGGGCATCTTACATAACTCAAGCTCTTTAAACTCGAGGCCTGAGCCAGCAAAATATCACTGCCTGGTCCAATACCCCAAACTAAATGAGTGCAATTTGCTGTTTAGGCTGGTGACGGACCAACACTGGATAATAAAATCTATAAAAACAAGATATCTGGCGTCTACGTTTAATGTCTCAAAACCTGTCAAACTCTTGCATGCCGACTACCTTGACAGCATTTTTTTTTGGTTATATGATTTCCAAAAGCGTCCATAATGGTCAAAAATGCCGTCTAGGTAACGTAACGTTAGGCAGCTCAGTAGGCTGTGAGACACAACCAGTGTTTACTTGAAACAGCTGATCGATTATACACATTATGATTACAGATAGATCTGTATAAGTGATTATTACTCATTCATAATAATACGACTCCATGTGTCGGAGCCTTTAATTGGATTGTATTTGAACTGTATTTAAAGCCTCGTTTAACCCAAATAATTATCGGACAGTCAAAGCCAAGAACAACCTAATTAGTTAACGGCCAGTTGTCATTCTCCGTTTACGTGGTTTATTTTTAAACTATATTTAGCGTTTGACTTCACATGTATAAAAAGATCATTTAAACTACTTCTAGATTAAAGTTAAGCGTCACACCCGTCCAATTTATTTTGTTTCTTAACTTAAATCAGGTTGATCGACGGTTCAGACCATAAACGCAGATCCCTGACAGCGGCTTTTTCAGCAGCACAAACTCTCCCGTTTACCTGCGTCCCTCTGCTGAAGCCCCGGCCCGCGATCTGACTCTGCCGTATTCTGCTGAGAATATTTCTGTTTCGAGTCCGTTTCTTTCCTCCCATCCAAAGGGACTCGGGCCCCAGTAGCGTCGCCATTACTTCGTCTTCCTGAACTGCTCCAAACAGGAAGTTAAAATCGTTCTGCCCTCGACGCTCACTGGTGGGTGTTGAGCGCCCTCGTGTGGACGATATTTAAACTGACCAGTAGAGGGCGCCATGCGCTGGGAGCTCAAATACATCTACTGAACGAGACATTGCTAAATCTGTATTTTATATGAATAAAAATACAATATTAAGATTGAACGTAAATGTACAAATATACATATTAAAAGTCTGTTTTCTTTTAAATAAAACCAGCTTTTTGATATATACGTTGCAGACAGATGAAAAGACACTCATAGGCTATAGGAAACGTTTCAATCAAAATCAACATGTAATGACCTGCCTTCTAAATGATCATTTAGCATTTCAACATTACAGCACATTTTCAAACTAAATGTTGAGACTTAGCGTTAAATGTCGTCTATTTAAAAAAGAAAGAGGCCAGTGGACAACCATTTGTGACAACAGTTTTTACTATAAACTGAATACAATGTCATAAATTAGCCTACTATAAGTTGTAAATATTTTGTTCTTATAATAATAATAATAATAATAATAATAATAATTAATTTTTAATTGTAATTTTAATTAATTTTTCTTTGTTAATATTTCTTCTCTCTGATATCATTGCTCTTTTGTTGATTTTGATTGCTTCCATTGTCCTCATTTGTAAGTCGCTTTGGATAAAAGTGTCTGCTAAATGACTAAATGTAAATGAAAGTATGGACTATTTCATGATACAGAGACACCTACCTTATTTTCGATACATTTAAAGGGACTATATAATAATAGTACATTTTTGAAATTGCCCAGTCTCATATAAATCATGATAACAAAACCTTTATGTCAGTTATCCTCTAGGCCTATATGTAAAAGGCAGATTAAAAAGTTGAGCCCCATTTTGACTAAATAAATGACACATTATTAAAACGATAGATTTCAAAATATTGTTACATTAAATGAAAAGTAAAATAAAATGCATTTAAAAAAAATTTCTAGCACAATTTATTCCCCACAATTTTATTTACATAATTATGTTATGTTGCAAAATTATATTAAATTCTGTTACTTTGTTTGTATTGTTAATTTGTTTTCTGTTGGGTCCTACTGACCAACTGAGCAATTTATTCTGTAGTTTCCCAAGTTAATGCATCCTGTACACTACGATAGACACAAAACATAACTATAACATGAAAAAAACTTAATTAAAACATACAAAAACAATCATTAAATAATTAACAAAACATCATTAATCGTGCATTACACTGGGAATGCTCGTGTATTGTAATCAAAATGCCCACCAAATACCCAAAACATCTTTAACTTAACTTCATCAGAGTCTTACAAGTCTGTCCTGTGTTGGATGTCACTCAGTCCAATTCGACTCCTCTGTGACATAAAAATATGCTTTCATAGTCTCTCTTAGTCCTTCACTGACCAGACTCTCCTGGTCGGTTCCCTTTACCTGCCTTTGAATCACTGACCTGATGATAAACAAAGAAGTTATTTTATAGAAGAACTAAAATAAGCAGCCTACTAAATTCTAGCAGAAGACTGGAAAGTGTGATCCGAAAATAAAAACTGAACATACCTGGACAAATCTCTCCAGTTAAGATTGGACCTCTGGATTGATATTGGTGAGGGTCTATGCACTATAGCTCTGTTGGAGTCATGAAGTAAGCAAGGTTCAGTCAGCTGACAGTATGTACCATTAGAAGACCCTGTAAATGGAAGAAATTAAGCGTTTCTTCTCTGATTTATTTTAACATTCAGATGCTGTTTAAAATGCAATGGACTGTCTTTTGAAGGTACAACAGCACCATTGCCATTTGAGCTTACGTGAGTAATAGTCCACCAACTGTGTGAGAGTGGAGAAGCAGTGGCTCTGGTGGATGTAGAACCAGCCGTTGTGGAGCTGATGGATTCTGTAGTGCTTTACATTGTGCACATGGCCTCTATCTTGTCGCATGGAAAGTGAGTAGGAACCTACAACCAAGGCAACGCATTTGTTAAGGTTAAAGCAAATGAATGTATTTTTGTATATTTTAGAGCCCCCTACAGTTAAGTATGTGTTAAGTACAGTTAAGTGGATTTCACTGTGGTAAATACATTGGATGGCTGTACACGTGCATTTGTTGCTGAGCTTTATCATACTGGCTCAACAAACTCCCAAAATTGATGTTTGCACCTTATAGAGTCAGTGTAGTGACATATTTAATTTTTGACGGGAATGAAAACGAGGCTGTGAAGAATGTAAGTACAGTGCGTTCAGATTGTACTGTTGTTTAACAAAGCCTACTGATTGTTCCTCTGGTGAAACTTGAGAAAAAAAAAAAACTTTCAGTAGACAAAAACTTTATAAATCAGTTTTACATGCTCATTGCATGATCTAGAACAGGGCTGTCCAAACTCGGTCCAGGAGGGCTGGTGTCCTGCAGAGTTTAGCTCCAACTTGCCTCAACACACCTGCCTGGAAGTTTCTAGTATGCCTAGTAAGAGCTTGATTAGCTGGTTCAGGTGTGTTTAATTAGGGTTGGAGCTAAACTCTGCAGGACACCGGCCCTCCACACTCTTAAAAATAAAGGTGCTTCACGATGCCATAGAAGAACCTTTTTGTCTAAATGGTTCCATAAAGAACCTTTAACATTTGAAGAACCTTTCTGTTTGACAAAAGGTTCTTTGTGGCGAAAGAAGGTTCTTCAGGTTACAAAAAAGGTAAGAAAGAGATGGTTCTTTAAAGAACCTTTGACTGAATGGTTCTTTGTGGAACCAAAAATGGTTGAATCGCTTGAAGAACCTTTTGAAGCACCTTTATTTTTAAGAGTGCAGGACCGAGTTTGGACAGCCCTGATCTAGAACCTTTATACAGTGCGTGCCATAGTCTGTAAATCTATCCCTCCCAGCCTCGTTTTCATAGCCTGACTAACGTCAATTAGAAGTGTGCCATCAGAATGATTTTGAAACTGATATTTCAAGGTAAAAAAAAAACAAAAACTTATACTGTAACTTACAGTCGCTTTAAGAAATAGACATCGTTTTTAATACAACAGAGGGCAATCAACAAATTAGCTACTTTTGGGGCGCAGACTAACCAGGGCATGACTGGCTTTCCCGAATTAGAAAACATCCAGAGTAGTTTGGAGGCAGCATAAGAAGTTGTTCTGCATTTCTCCTTGTGATCCCTTCAAACAGCCACCTTTATTCAAATAGACAAAACCCGGAAAAGTTATTAAAGGACATCATTACACAATTTCCTAAATCTCTCAATCATCAGTGATCATGATATGATTAAATTCACTCCCTAATTATGATCTGATGACATCACATAACACTCTCTCTCTCTCTCTCTCTGCATGTGCTTGTCTCTTTTCACCATTTTTACTGATAGACACAATAACAGAAAAAGTAAGGGGAGAGAAGATGCAGGCCAGACTAAAACCCAGTTCTCCCATAAGCGTAAAAAGTCAAAAATGCACTTATTCACTTTCACTCACATTCACTTATTTCCTTTTGTAACTTTGTAAAATAAAAAGTTTGAACATGACTGACCGATTATGCACTTTGGAAACGTAGGTGTGAGGAATGAAAAACTCTGTGCCAGTTGTTGTAGAATAAACCATCAACATGTCATCATCTCTGCAACAGAAGCAAACCCATTATAAACCCTGCATTCACTGTAGCTAACACTTACATACTTTTGTCTAGAAATAATCTTTACTTACTCTGACATAATGTTCAGTCTGTCTCCCAAAAATATAGTGTGTTCATCAGACCTGTGGGGTGGAAAGTTACACAAGGCCACTGCCATGCGCATGTGATTTCCTGATGCTAAAGTAAAACAGACACAGGTGAGGGCTAATTATACACAAACTAGATGGGAATGTGTTATTTATTTGTAATCTAACAACATTAATGATAAATTATAAAATACATAGTAAAAGCTAACGGAGTAAAGCTGTTTGTATATGTTAGTTTAATTGCATAATCATGTCCATACATTCATCAGACATCAAGACGGGGTCCTCCGGTCTGTGAACAGAAGATCGACGCCAGGGTCTGGTTGTTAGACAACCCATGTTTATTTTATGACCATGTCTAATAGATTTATGCACAGAAGCCCACCTGAAAACACAACAGAAGATACACCACTGTATTGTCAAAAAGTTTGTGTGTGTGTAAGGTTCTTGACCTTTTACATACAAACTAAACCATAAAGAAACGACACATACCTTCTGGAAAGTAAACTACAAAAAAAAATAAATAATCATAATTATAATAAAAGAATACAATAAAATAAATAAATAAAAAACAAAGCCACATATCCAAGCAAGACTAGAAAACAACACACATAGCAGAAAATTAACTAAATAATACAAATGAAGAATGAAAAATAGAATAAATTAAAAATCAAATCAAAATGAAAGTAAAATAATAAATAAAACTTTCTTCTATAAAACATTTAAATATTAATAACTAAAATAAAACATCGTACAGACCACAGCTACACAAACAAATACTTACTATACTCTGTTTATTCCGTTTCAACTCTGTGTGCAAATATGCTGAAATGATAAGTTGATTTTCTTGGCCAACAATATGCAGTAGGCCATATAAAAGAGCATCCACTATAGAGATCCCAGCACTAGAGAATGCACAACAGTGTTGATGCGACCTTCATCCTCTGTTGTGCGTGTGAACTGACGTGTGTGATCTCTTGAGTAGGAGTTGTGGTGAACAAACCAATATGCAAATGAAATTTCCTGTGCTATTAGACTTTTCAAAATCCATAATCGTTCTACAGTCAGAAGTAAACTGCTATAAAGGGACAAAGTGTGCAAGATGCAGTTCATTCAATTAAAATACATTTCATGGAATGGATTTAGATATATAGATTGTACATACAGTACATGTGCAAGCATATGCCATATCAATTACAAAGACAATTTTGTGTGTATGCAATAAATTGGAGCTTCTAATGTTTTCTTGGCACTGTAATGTGCACCTTTCATTATTTTAAGTGGTTGTTAAAAATAGTCTAACCACAACCTGAGGATAAGGGTTGCTCGATGTGAGTGTCAAAAAAGTACATTTGTGGTCGGAAACTTTGCAACTCAACAATCTTTAATCTCCTTTACCGTTGAGAAATTCTTTCTTCAGTGATTCTGAAAATAATAGTACTATATTGAAAGCAAAAGTAAAGCAGTTATAAACGTTTAGTATTTAAAGGGGGGAAAAAATGCACAGTCTTATTTTCCATGATCTAACTTTATTGAGTAATTGAGAATCAGTGGACAGTGACTTTGTCAGACACTATTTCATACTCTTATTCATGTCTGTGAAAGCTGTCATTCCATGTGTACATCAATTTATGTTTTGATTAAGAATAATTGTTAAAAATGGTAAGGGAGTAAATATACAAAAGAAAAACATGATTTAAGTCATACTAAGTCCTTGCTACTTTTGTTTTGCATATTTAAAAGAGCGACAGCCTAATGTAAGTATTAGAGTAAAAGAAACAAATATTAAAATGAAAATAAAGAATGATATTCCACTTCATCCAAAGTCTTCAAAAGCATTTATCACCTAATAACTGACGGCTTTTAGTATAACCTATCAGAGTTTTTAATATAAATACACCAAAAGTCAGTTCTTAAACATTCATTACATTCATAGGATGAACAGAAAAGTGGATTCAATGACAGAACACGACAGGCATTTAAAACACAGTTAAACAATATCACACAGTGTAGCAAGATAAGAGCACAGGAGAGGTCACAGGTCACACCATAAAACAAAAACTACAATTTTAATGCATGTGTTTTTAATTTACGTGAGAGTGGAACCATTTCAGTCTAACGATCAAAAATGAGGTGGAATGTAATGCTAACAAATATAAAAAAAAAAGGGCAAAAAAAGCTTGGTGGAAGACCTTTCATGTGTAAATATATATTAGTCTTTTGCTTTTATGACTTAAAATTTTACTAGTGTATATTAACATGTATATATTCAATATGCATACCTTCAGTATGTCATATTTCATTCAAGCCTCCCCTGCCTCACTATTAAAGGTTTTAGAAACACGTGGGAATCTGACACGAACAACAGGAGGTGAGGGGTGAAACGACAGACAGCAGACAGCAGATTCTGAGCCTCGGGCTTTAGCAGGACACCTCCATCGTTTGTGGCCTGGCCTGGTTGTCCAGGACTCCAGAGTTGGGCCCGTCCAGAGGGCTGTTCAGGTTGCGGTTGCGTGAGCCGTCCGTGGATGTGATGCTGGACGAGGAGGATCGGGACCGAGACAGACGGGTCATGCCAGCCGCTGGTACTGTGAGATGAGAATGTGATTATTGCAGTCTTCAGTATAATCAGGGGCGGCAAGCAAAACGAAAGAACAAGCATCATGCAAGAGGAAACCAAACCGAGAATGTAATAATAGATAATCACAAGTTCGTCTCGTGTCTGCTTACACAGAGTATAAATGTGCACACAGAAGCATTTCTGACAAAATTTAGACCTACCAAACAAAAAGCAAAGACACATACATGCTTAAATAAAAAACAACACATACCTTTCGGAAAACATGTCAAATAAACTGCAAAAAATATTATTAATAATAAAAGAAAAAACGTAAAAAAAAAAAAAAAATCTAAAATAAATGATAAAGTCTAATATAAATTAAAAATAAAATAAAAAAGTAAAGCCAATAGCATTTAAAAGTAATATTTAAAAACTACAACTTTTTAATAAAACTTTAAAAAACCAAGAAATAAATAAAACAAGGTCTATATATCGTATAAAATGTCTGCTGAAACTTTTTAGTAATTGTAGTGACAGACCGATATGTTGACCTGGCCATGTAACAGTGGTATTGTATCACTATATAGGCTAGTTTTAAAATTGAAAAACAGCTTCTTTAAATGTAAAATAGGCATATGTTTTTAAACTGAAATTGTGTTTAAACAAAAAATAATATTTTCAATAAAAATAAAAGTGTATCAGATATTTACCACCCAACTTTCTATATATCTGCAAAGGCCACTGAAAAACCCATATCGGTCGAGCACTAAATATTACCATGTCAAATATCTACATGCGAATATGTCTAAACACAATCACAGAGGTGAGCCGTGCAAGCATGTATACATCAGTCAAATCACATCCCGGGTACCTGATTCACTGCTCAGATGGCTGAGCAAAACATGAGGAACTGTTTGCAAAAGTTGAAGGGAAACGGAGAGAAAAATAAGATCTCTGTACAGCACAGATTTTGGTATTTCATGGAAATGCTTTCAGTGAAAACAGGTCAGATACTGTTCAGATACTGACTGTGGTCAGGGACGTCTGTGGTTTAAAATGTAACCCTGCAAGTTACGACCTCGGCCCTACCAATGGCAGCTGTAATTCTTGCATGTGCCTACAGCTATGTTTTACTGGCTTCTCTGCAGGGTCTAAAAATTGCAAATCTTTTCCTGCCTTGACATTTAACCACCTGAGCCTCATGCTGCATTTATGGCTCTTCACCAATAGAGGGAATCAAGAAGCAAAAAATATGCTCTTATATATCCTCAGATGATTATGAATATTTTTGGCACCTAAGCTAATTAAAGAGGTCATATAAATGTCTATTTATTTTAATAAACAGACAGCAGGTAAAGTTACACCGGGAGTCCGCATCTCTCCCTCCTCCCCTGAGCCCATTGAGTTGTAACAGACCCCGTAAAGTGTGCCGCGAGTTTGGTGGGGGGTAATTAAGAATGAATGGGGGAAAGTCACGTGAGAGGACTCCGTGTCTGTGACCAATATTTACAGAGCTTTGATGACTGATGATCCAAAAAATTTTAAAATAGTTAACACAACTGACATATGTCCTCAATGACGCAGAGGAATGTAAACTTCTGACCAATAAGAGGACAGTTTTGCTCACATGTGACTTGCATAAACACAGTCTGGTACACTTTGCAGTATTGCCTTGTGAAAGCACACCGAACCAAGAAGAAAATGCAAAATTTTAACAAATTAAAGTCCCTGTTTTGGAACAAACAAACAATCTACAGGTCTGAAAAAGCCCTTGGATTCCTCATGGCATGACCTCTGAAAACTCTCTAGAGCTTTGATGGCGTAATTCAAAAGCCTGTGATGAATTTTACAAGCATTATGCTCTTGAAAAGCAACCGTTTTGGTCTGACTTCTGACATGATGTAAATTCCTGTCTGACTGGAACAAGGACAATACAACAGCGCAGAAATGAAACAGCAAGTATCTTTGGAGGGGGAGGTACAGGGTCAGAGAGAGGGTGACATATTTTCACACAGAGCACTGGCAGCACATCGAGCGCTTTACTGGACCGCCAAAACCTGTCAACAAATATGCGAGGAGGGCTCATTCAGAGCGCATTGTGATGTCGTGCACGTCTGTAGTTTGAAAACTAATCAAAACACAGTTTGTGGGTCGATTTGCTGAGTTGTGTGTGGTAAAAAGAAAGAAAAAAGATTCCCATTAGTCATAGTGTGGTGCTGAATTGCTAATTAGCATAGCCTAGCATCTGAGAAACCCAGATAAACAAATACATGTTTACGGAGAAAGCTGACCCAGATTGCACAGCAGATTAAACAAATATCTGAAGACAGATTCACAGGTTAAAAGAGTCAAACATTGATGTAAACTGATAAAAAATACTCACTGTATCCCATTCCCTGTACAAAGTATTTGAACGCTTCGGCCAGCTTTCCAGGCTGTTGGGAGATTAGAGGTCATTTACACTGGTTTACACTTTTATAACACAGTATGCATACGTTGGTAAAGATAACAGTAGGGGTGCATACACTGGTTTACACTTTCATAACACAGTATGCATACGTTGGTAAAGATAACAGTAGGGGTGCAGGTGTTTAATATGGTGTTCAATATCAAGAAATAAAGATGGAACAAGACTAACCTGAACAATCTGAGGCAGACCGCCACAGTCAGCCATCTAACAGAGAGAGAGATAATACAAATAATGTATAGTGAGAAAGAGATAGAAATAGTTAAATGCAGAAGTTAAAGATTCAGGGTTTTGCAAAATATCAATGTCATCTTACCTTCAGCAAAGTGGTCTTTGTTGGATTTAACCTAGAGTTGCATTCAACCTGCAATGTAAAATATTCAGCAGACTTAAAATAGTGAAGGGCAGAGCAACAAAAAAACAAAATGACCGTGAACTTAGAAACTTACCACAACCTCCACAGCAGGGGAAGTGTCTCCAACCACCAGAAGAGCAGGGCATCTGTTCAGGGACAGGCAGTGATCAAAAACAATACACCAATATATATATAATCAAAATAAAATAAAATAAAATACATATAAAATAATAAATCTTACGTCAGTGTTTTCACTGTATTCTCATTGAGTCCGGCAACTGGCCTTTCGATTCCAAGGTCTTGACGCCTGTTATAAACAAACACCTAATTTAGAAGGTTTTTCAGCATAGGTAATAATCAATATATATGTCACTCACGCATTGTATGAGCCACAGAAGAGGGCCAGGTTGTCCTGGTTGATGTCCTGGGCAATGTGCAGGCGGTATGTCTGAATCAGTTCTTGGTTGTCAGTCAGCTCCTCCTAATTGATCA